GAGATCTAGAACATTCTGGTAATGCTTTCATAATTCCCCCCACCCCCAGGGAGGCCCCTCATAGTTTCACTGATGGTGAAAACTCATTCTGTTTAAAAATTCTTTTTAAAGTTGTCAACTTCCGTCTCTCCTTTTGTGTTCGTGTCTTTTTGTCTCTCCCTCCCTCCTTGTTCTCGGTCTCTTGTATCTCCCCGGGACCTTCAGGGTTCACATATTTGGTCATCTTGCCTTTCCTAAATGTCTGTTCTCTTTCTCACCTCTCCAAGTTCAGCTGCAGAGCAGCTGCGTTTCTCCACAGGCAGTGGGGAGACTCTGCCTTTCTCCTGAGCTGCAGCCTCTCTCATCACTGGCTTCAGGTGGTCCCTTTGAGCTCCCACAGCAGTCAAGCTTCCTGCTCATGATTAAAGGGATGCTCGTGCTTCTGAAAGAAAGCACCAGGGGCAGAGACTGATGGCTCCAGCCCAATCCCCAGGTCTCCCGGAGCTGGCTTCCAGGACAGGCAATCACAGACTTTGTGGGGAGGAGCCATCTCCTTTGTTCTTATGTGTTGCTTCTTTCTTGTTACCCAGGCTCATGTTAATTGCTTTTCTGACTTTTTTTCTGGCAAGTGATTTTTGCTGCTGCTTGTAGAGGTGACATGGCAAGCCCACGAGGGAGTGATAACAATGACCTGATGCCAAGCCGAGGAGGCTGGGGCCCCTATTCGGGGTAGAAGATAATGAAGTCGAGTCATGAACAGTTTTTTCTAAATGGTCAGTGATGCAGGCTCAGAGCCTTCAGAAATGAGGGTATCCTGTGGCCAGGGCTTTCCTAGAAAGTCGTTCCCTTGGCCTTTGTGGCTCTGGCACACCACCCTTCCTGGTGCAGGGACCTCAGGATGCAGGAACCTGTGCATGGGGCTGGATGACTTCTAAGGTCTTCCAGGAGCTTATGACTGTCAGTAGCACAGAGACTAGAACTGTGATGATCCTATCTTCCAACTACCTATCAGAACATGTGGTCTGTTAGCCCAGATATTTATTCCACTTACTCTGTGCTAAGCTGGAGACATGACAGTGAATAGGTCACAGTTCCCGCCTCAGGTCAGCTCACAGCCTGGCTGGGAGACAGACCCACACTTAGATAATTATCATGCAGCAGGGCGAGTACCAGGATCCAGCGATGCACGGGGGTTATTCTGAGCACAGCGGCGAGGTCTTAGGGGCCAGGGCAGGCTTCCCGGAGGCGGCACCAACACTATTGAGTCTTGAATAGGCAACGGTTAGCTGGGCCAGGCCAAGGGGAGTATAGGGGTGAGGAAGGAAGAGCTGAATTCTTTTCCTGCCTGAACCACCCTGTTTAAGAGCAATACGGGGAAACCAAGCCATATGAAGACGGGGACATTGACAAGCACAAGTCTCTTGACTTTACAAAACAAATTCTAAACTCCCTTTTTTTGGTACTAGGGTCTCAAACTCGGTGTCCAGCCACCCAAGCTCTGGCCTGTGTGGCCCCTTCATAGTTCTTCCTGACATTTCCTGGGAACCACAGGTGAGTGTGGCCCAATAATCCTTGCTCCACTCAGCGATTGTCTGAAATGTGGGTTCCCTTAGTGCCCAGTGCCACATGGAGCACGGGGTGGGTGCTCTTCATGTCTTTGATTGCAGCTGCGTGTGCGTTCGTCTCTTACCTGTCAGGATGATCAACAGGAACTCGGCAGTTGTAATTAGCATGAGAGTTACACGTGTCATTAGGTTTACAGAGTAACATGGGCCAGGCCAGAAGATACGTCTGCAAGAGGTCTCCCTGGTAACAGCTATGGTCAGAGGAATAAGGACGGCAAGGACTTCCCAGGTAGACACCTCTTCTATTTTCTTTCTTTTTTTTCGAGACAGAGTTTCACTCTTGTCCAGACTGGAGTACAGTGGTAAGACCTTGGCTTACCACAAAATCTGCCTCCCAGGTTCAAGTGATTCTCCTCCCTCAGTCTCCTGAGTAGCTGGGATTACAGGCATGTGCCACCACGCCGGGCTGATTTTGTATTTTTAGTAGAGATGTGGTTTCTCCATGTTGGTCAGGCTGGTTTTGAATTCCTGACCTCAGGTGATCTACCCGTCTTGGCCTCCCAAAGTGCTGGGATTACAGGTGTGAGCCACTGCGCCTGGCCCCTCTGCTGTTTTCTACTGGAGGCAGGGGCTGAGACCTTGAGTGGGGAAATGCCAATGTGGGCCAGCTTCTCTTCGGCACCATTTGTCCTCAGGCTGCATTTGTTGACTTCGCCATTGTTATTAGCTTTTCTAGGGGGATAGTGAGATAATGGGAGGCGATGTGGTTGACATTGAAAAAAAAATGTTGCCAGGATTTGGTGGCTCATGTCTGTAATTCCAGCACTTTGGGAGGCTGAGGCAGGTGATCACCTGAGGTCAGGAGTTCAAGACCAGCCTGGCTAACATGGTGAAACCCCATCTCTACTAAAAATACAAAAATTAGCCAGGTGTAGTGGTGCATGACTGTAGTCCCAGCTACTTGGGAGGCTGAGGCAGGAGAATCACTTGAACCCGAGAAGTGGACGTTGCAGTGAGTTGAGATTGTGCCACTATACTTCAGCCTGGGTGACAGAGCGAGACTCCACCTCGAGAAAAAAAAGTTATTGTGTATATCGAAGGTATCCAACATGATGTTAATGTGATTTTATGAAAAGCATCCTTTGCAGTCAAGTAGACCTGAACTTGAATCTTACGTCTGCCACTTCGGCTGTGCAGTTTTGAGCACTTAACTTCTTTTAATGTGATTTGTTCATTTATTAAATAGGGTTAATCATGTCTGTTTTTTATCTGTCTCCAGAGGGTGTTGTGAAGATCCAAGGACATAGTGCATGTAAAGCACATTCTTCTTACTTTTGATCACTCTGAGCTGACTGTAGTGGCTGTAGTCATTCATTGAACAATTATTTATTGTCCACTTATTGCTAGGCATTGTTCTGGGTTCTGGGGAAGCAGTAATGAACAAAAGTCTCTGTTCTCATCAAGTTCACATTCTGGTGGGGAAGCTTGAACATAAGTAAGTAAACAGAACAGGATAACTTCAGATAGTGATGAAAGCTACAAAGAAAAAGAAACAGGTCCATAGGGTGGAAGTGATTTGGTGGGAGGCCCGAGGAGGCTTTAGGGAGCACGGTGGTCTTTGAACCAAGAACTGGAGGCCAAGAAGGGGCTGGGCCTGCGGAGACGTGAGGAAGAGCAGTCCAGGCAGAGAGAAGAGCAAGGGCACAATGTGCTGAGGTGGGAAAGCGTTTGGCAAGAAAGAAGGTGCTTGCAGGAGGAGCACTGTGAACTCTGGGGAGTGTGGGATGAGGAGAGGAGCAGGAGTGAGGTCCATGCATGTTCCCAAACTCTGTGCTGAGGTGTTCTTGTTGCTGTTGTGACTTCAGAGAGGATCTGTGGGATATTTTAAAGGTAAAAGGCGACACTCAACTTCTGTTGGGCTCCATGCAAATTAGTAACTAGTGGAGGATAGCTCGAAGATTCAACATTAGATTGCTCTATGTTTTTTTTTTTTTTTTTTCTTGAGATGGTGTCTCACTGTCTCACCCAGGCTGGAGTGCAGTGGGGTGATCTTGCTCACTGCAACCTCTGCCTCCCAGGTTCAAGAGATTCTCCTGCCTCAGCTTCCTGAGTAGCTGGAATTACAGGCAACTGCCACCAAGCCCAGCGAATTTTTGTATTTTTAGTAGAGATGGGGTTTCACCATGCTGGCCAGGCTGGTCTTGAATTCCTGACCTCAGGTGATCCACCTGCCTTGGCCTCTCAAAGTGCTGGGATTACAGGTGTGAGCCACCACGTCTGGCCTGCCCTACATGTTTTTTTGATAAAACCATATTTTTATGAAGCTGCATTTTCAGTTTTTGTCACTTGCTATGACATAAAACAAGTACCATGGGAAAATCAATATAGAATAGGAAATGAGGGCGGCTGTGACTAATCCAATTCCAAGGTTTGAGAAGTTGTGCAGTGTCCAACAAGCACACACATCCCATTACTGAGAAGTCGTGGCTAAGAATAAGGTTTTTTTTTTTTTTTTTTTTTTTTTTTTTTTTCTAGTTTATATGTATTATTTTTTCTAGTAGCTACAAAGTTGTTTAGGACAGAAATACTTCTTACTTTGGGTCTAGCTACTTAATACACAGAACAGTTAGGTATTTCTTTAGGCCTAGAGTTACTGTGAAAAAAATTATTGAGACATTAAGGGCATGATAAACAGACAAGGTTGGGAACTCCGGGGCTAGGTCATGAGATGTCATGAAATCTTTCTCATTTCAAGCTCGCAAGCGTATATTGTTGTCTTTTCATAGACCCAGGGGTGTGTGTTTCTGTGCATGTGTGGGTAACCTAAAAAGGTCATCTAGATTTTGTAACTGGGAGGGTCCCCAACCTGCCTGACCGTTAGGATCACCTGGGGGAACTTTGCAGAAATAGTTTCCTGTGTCTCTGCCCTGGGGATTCTAATTCAGTGGGTCTGACATTTGAATCTGAGTTCAAAGATCTCTGCTGTAATGCGCATTCTTTCAGGCAGCCAGGATGGCGCGATTGGAGCCGGCCTGCCTAGATTTGGGGGTCCTGGTCGTTATACGTTGTGCCCGGGGCCAGGCTGTGTGGCTTTTTCGGATCCCCAGGCGGAGAAGGGGCGTGGAGCACGTGTCTGTTGGAACCCTGGGGGAGGTCGGTGCTAGGCACACTCATATCCATCTCCAATCTGGGTGCGCGGTGTGAACCACCCGAAAGGAAGACGATTCCCTCCGTAGGAAGCCCCTGCCAGGAGAGCCGCCACCTCCCAGACCCAGTGGACTTGGTCCCGACCGTCCTCCCGTAGGGTTTCTGGGGCGTGGCAGCGGAGCGCGGCTCGGGGAGACGCGGCCGGGAGGTGGCAGCAGCGGCCCTCCGGCAGCAGCGAGGCGTCCCGGGGGGCGGGGACGCGGGCGGCTCCGGGCGGGCGTGGTCCCTCCTGCCGGCTCCCGGGCTGGCCGGGCGGACCCCGGAAAGGGGGAGCCGCGGGGACGCAGCGACAGACTCGGGCTGCGGGCAGTGGCAGCCCACGCCTCCTAGGGGTTGCAGCCCTGGGCGCCGGTGTTGGGCCAGTCTCCCGGGCCTGGCACGCCCTGATTTGCTCTGTACCCATGATTTGTGGCGGGGCAAGACGTTAAGCTGAGTAACACCGAGGTGAGCCACGGTCCTCGGCACCAGATGAGGAACCACTGTCTCAATAAAGTGTGATGTGGAAAATCTGTGTGTCTACATGTGACTTAAAAATATCTCCTTTGCTGACGTCGAAAATTTCACTATTAGAGATGCATTCTTTTGTCCTATCTATTCAAGGCCCTGGGAGGGAGGCTTGCGTTAGAACGCGAACTCTTTAGGGCGGGTGAATGATTTAATCTCTTTGTCGGGAAGGGAAGGGGTAGCCCTTAGTACTCAAGACAAAAGGACTGAAGGCGCCTTAATTGGTACTTGCTAATTAAGCCCCAGAGACCAGAGCACTCCCCGGGAATTTTACTTTAGAGAGAAAGCTCATTGCCCCTGGAGCAGCCCTGTATCCACTTCGTGAATGTTTTAGAGAGGGTTAATGGGGCACTAGCATAGTATGATTAGTTCAGCTCATTGGATATTATTTTGTAAAAGAGGCAGCATCTGTACTAGCACTCTAATAAATCATAAAACTACTCTCTCCATTTCTGTTCCTTGTACCTTCTTTGAATTAAGAAAATACTGTGGTAGGGTACAGTGAACTTTTGAGCCAGAAATTCCTGGCTGGGAGAGCCCTCTCTGCCTTCTGTTACTGGATCTGTGATTCTGGAAAACAGCCTTTCTGAATCTCAGTTTTCTTTTCTGTAAAATGGGAGAAATACCGCCTACTTGGATGGTGATGGTGAGCATTAAATTGAATACCGGAAGGAAAGTACTGGTATTTGTGTACTGATTTCAGGTCTCAATGCTGTGTGTGTAACGATGGTGACCCTGAGAGCTTCCCTGCAATTCCAATTTTTGTGTCTCGTTCTCAGTGACACCAGTGATGCTGTTAAACAAGGGCAGTCAGTTTGTGGATTGTCACAATGCACACTGATGTCAAGGGGACACTGCCGTCAGGTACAGAGGGCACCACAGTGACCAGGAACGGCTGTCCTTGCAGGCCAGGTTTTAGGAGGCTTTACCAGAAGGAATGGAAAATTCTAGTGGGCACTAAGGTTGAAACAGCATTTGAGGACTGGTTCTCCACAAAACCTTAAATTCTTCAAGGCATTTGACATTTGCTTATTTTTGTAACAAATTAAAACATATCCTGTATGTGGGTTAGAGATCTTCAAATTGTAAATATCTTGAGGCAGGAGTGAGGTTTTATCTTTTAAAGGACAGGCCCCTACTCTCCTACGTAATGAGTTTCTAAAAACGAATGTGAGCACCAATCAATATTTCTCTGGTTGTTAAAGTCAAGAATAAAACGATATTTTTAAGCTCCCAACTGTGCAGGATGAATTCTGTACACTTTTATTTCCCTCTGTTCTCCTTCCCTATTTGAAAGTTTATTAGTTTATGGACTTGGGATCTGGATTATTCATACGTTATTTTTTGATGTTGTATGTCTCTTGGTTCTAGGGTATTTTTGACACATATTCTGTCTTGTAACCACAGTTAAACAATTATTTTAGACCAACTCTCTGTGTGTAATGGCTTCAACACTCACTGCTAGTCCTCTGACACTCTGTTTTTCCGATTCTTGAGTAATTTTGTCATCACTTGGGCAGCTGAAATATATTTTAAAGTGATTTAAAGAATATGTGAGGGGCAGACACTCTGGGCTCTTTTGGTTGTCTGTCCTCAAAAACTAAAACTTATTTGTGAGTAAAATTTTCATCTAAATGTTTTCCTATCAAAACTGTGTAAGCTACTGTTCCATTGTAATAGAGACAAAGGTTAGCACAATTTTTACCCTCTCTCCCTCCCTCTCTCCTTCCCTCCCTTCCCTCCTTCCTTCCTCCCTCCCTCCCTCCCTTCCTTGCTTCCTTCCCCCCTTCCTTCCTTCCTTCCTTCCTCCCTCCCTCCCTCCCTCCCTTCCTTTGTCTCAATATACATAGAAAACCCTTAAACATTTGCTTATAATTTAAACACTTGTCAGAGCATTTCTGGATTTGAGTGTCTCTTGGTTACTTTTACCTGGAACCTGGTGAATCCAGTCCATTCCTCTCAGTTTCTCATCTTTCTGTCCCTTTTTGGGAAGTTTTCTTTAATTATATCTTCAATTATTGTATCTCTTTTGATTGTTCTAGATTCTTCTTCAGAAACATAACTCTTAGGCTCAATCTCTATTCCTGGTCTTCCACAACTATGCGTCTTCTTTTTAAATTACTGTATTTTATTGAATCTAAGCTAGTATTGGTTGTAAGAAGCACTATTATTATATGTTCAACTAAGGAAGAAAAAATGCTGCCAATTAAACTGTGACATAATGCCATGATTACAGTCCTGTGAAATTGGTAAGTTGCTCACACCATTCTCTCTCTTATTTTGATAGACTTCATCTATTTTGAGGGACTTGGCAGTTGCTCCTGCCTTCAGTTGCATTGTTTGGCATGTGACAGGCAATTCTTTTTGCATGCGTCTCAGTTACAAAACATAACACAACTTCTACTTAAGGATACCTTCCTTTCTTGGGTCCTGTCAAGCACTTAGTTTTTCTAAAAAAATAAAAAGAATTGCAGTGGTTGGTCCAGTAATAGACATTTACTTCAGTAATATCAAATTACATCCTGCTGCTTGAATTCCACGCCTTTCTGCATACATAATAACTTCTTGTTTCAATGCCAAACCATGGTGTAATCTTTTAAAAGACATTTTAAATGGCAATTAAACTCACATGTAATAGCAACAATATATACAATTCAATTAAAGTGCTAACAACATGAACAGCTGAGACCAAGTTCACCCATGCCCAGGCCTAGATGACCTCACCATGGCAGCTCCCTGGCTCAGGGTGATTATGAGATGCCAGTGATTGCAAGACTCGGCCCGATTTCAAAAGTGATGATGTGGCAACACAGACATCTTAGAATTAAGGAAATAAGATAGTTTTAATTCTTGGTGCTCTTTCTCTGTATTCTGAAAGCGTTCTTCCAGTTTGCCATCCATAACACTTCCTTAATTTTCTGTCATGTCCATTCCACTCATTTACTGCTTCTTATACATGGCTTTTAATTATTGTTTAATAATTTAATTTTCTTGGAAATATCTTTTTCTTATTACAACCAGCTTCCTTTATATTTTTTCTTGAAGACCATTGGCCAAATTCTTTTTCATAAGCTTGAAGACCCTAATAGTTACCCTGAGACTGTATTCTAGTTAATAGAATGTGAACGGAGGTGATGTGCATGACATATAGGACTTCTCCGTAAGAGCCTTTAATGAGTCATCCTCGGTTCTTTCCCCCCCAATTCCAGCTGAGTGCCATGAGAGGACAGTGGCAACCTTGGAGGCCTCACAGGTGAAGGTGGCAGAAACTTTGTTAGCCTGGGTGCTCAGGGTGGAGAGCTACTCTTGCCAACTGGGAACATTTGCCTTGAGCTCTCTTGTGACAGATAAGTTTTTACTATACTTCAGCCAAGATGCAAATGTTGGATATATTTGTACAGCAGCTAAAAGTACTCTAATAAAACATGTTATGAAATCACCACGTACCCTAAAATATTAACAAAATTCTTGCAATATTTGTAGGAGAACTGCTGGATTTTGCTTTCTTAACTCATTTGCTGTTACTACTGAAAAAAGAGAATAACTTGGACAATGAAATAATCTCAAATGAGGTAATAAAATCATTACTGAGTTTTAACAGTCCCATCATTTCTGGAAAAAAAAAAAAGGAAGCTTTAGAATACCATTCTTCCCTATGTTTTAGAATACAGAGGGTGTAGTGCTAGTCTGATGTGTGCTAGTCTGATTTGCTCAGACATTTGCAGAGGGAAGAACGCTTACAAGTAGTAAGGGGCTGAAGTCTGAGTGGATAATATCTGAATTTTGTTTAATATTGTTTTGGATGACGTATTTTTTAAAACTCCACTCTGGCTAACTGCTTTCTCTTGATGTCTTAAAAAATCTTGCTTCACTGTTTATTTGATTAAAATTTTCTTTTTTTTTAAAAATATTTCACTGTTTATTTTAAAAGAATCAGAATTAGGTCTAACATGAACAAGGGAGCTGCCCCCATTACATTTTTGTAAGAACCTAAAATGTCATCTCACATGCCAGTCTTTGAAGCTTATCCTGTTATCAGTTTAACTCAGCTTGTTTTCTAGATCTATAGTATTTGTGTGTGTGTGTGTGTGTGTGTGTGTGTGTGTGTGTATGGTTTTCAGTTTCAATTTCATAGGGCCATATTATGTTTTTATATTATAAATGTCAACTTTAAAACATTTTCTTCTGGTTTCTGTAGTCAGTTGTCTTCAGAGGTGTGCTCTTTTTCCTAGTCTTCTGGGTGATGCCATGTTTGCCCTATTCTCTTAAGGTGAGTGTGGTGCTGTTTTTCCATTAGGCCTCATGAGGGTTTCCTCCCCTGTATCCCCACTTCCACCTGGCATGTTGCTTACCTTTAAACAAGTAGAGTTCCATGGAGCCTTAGTGCTTGCTTGCTAAAAGATGAAGTGTAGATTGCGCGGGTTGTCCTTGGCTTTGCTCACTGCCCTCCTCCTAGGTCTGTAGTTGAAGGGCAGTTGTGGTGCACAGCTCCTAACAGTCTCCATAATTGAAAGACATTCATCTTGTGCAGCCCTGCTGAACTGTCATGGGATCTTCCCCTACTTCTTCTGCTTATTCTCTAACATCAAGAACTGATGGGGGATGTGAAAATTGCACTCTCCAGCACAAACAACCTTTGTGCTTCCTCTAAGGCATGTTGTGAGGAAAATATGCCTTCCAAAACATGACGTGCCATTGCTAGTCCTCTTCCCCTCCCTACTCTGTGGTTTCCTAGTAATTGCATTCTATGAATGGATGTAGATAGATCAATGGAGAGGGAATAGTTTTCTGGCTCCTCCAAAGAGTAGCAGCCATAGTAGAGAGCCAGGTTTTCATTTGGCTTGGTCCTGGGTCTCTGAATGGGGTGTAGAAAGTAGGAGAGAAAGAAAATGTCTTATCATCTTTCGGGATGATGGGGCCGTTCTGTTTTATAAGGTGAAGAGGTGAAGTGTGGGCTGTTTTTCTCAATGCAGCTCAGCTTTAGTGACTTTATTTGGTTAGTAGAAATTCCTTCTAGATTCTGGTAACAGGTTGTTAGTCTTCATTTTCATTATTGTTGTGAGTTTTGTCATTTTTCTGTATAATAAGTAATTTAGAGAGAAGTTTGGTGATACTTTGTCAGGAACTTCTAGCCAAATGCCATTTTAAACTCTAAGTGGACATGATTTTATTTTACTTAAAAAAATTAGGTCTGGGAATGACCTACTTATTCGTCATGTTCTGTTTGCCTTAAACCACTTCATGAAGTGTCCATGGGCTCCAAGTTTGCCTTCCAATGCTTTTCTAAATCTCATTGCTGTCTGCTCCTTTGGAGGAGGCAGGGTTAGAGAGACCTTTTCTGGTAGCATGTAGCCATGCCAAGCAGTCATCAGATGGTGGGTAATTTCTTTTACCTGGCATCTCATTCAAGGTTCTTTGGGTGGTTAATAATAGAAACCAACTACAGCCAGTTAGGGGGAAGGGAAAGAGTAAATTGTGATACTGGGATGTCTTACAGGATCCCAGGACAGTTGGGCCTCTTAAGAGGTGGGACCAGGAGTTCTGAAGTTTTTAGGAGCCCATAGTCCTTGTTCATTCTCTTCCTCTGCTTCCCTGTAAAAGAAACATAAATTGTAAACAAAGTCCTGTTCAGGGTGCACACATGACTTTGCTCCTCACATGCAGGGTGTAAAATGGATGCCTCGTAGCTTCTGAGTTTTCCTCTTGTTTATCCAAGTACCTATCTCAGATGGACTGGATGCCTCTAAGTCCTAATTTCAGACTCCCAGGGAGAGAGAGAATCAGACTCCTAGGGTTTGGGTCACGTGACCACCCTATTCCAGTCAATATGGATGTGTGTCTGTGTATGAGAAGGTACAAGAATGACTACTGGCAGCTGTCAAAGAAGGGGGCTTATTGTGAGCTTGGCAAGTCCCTGCCACTCACGGCTTTTGAAATCAAACCTCCTAGATCCAATCCTAAGGGGAGCAGGACTTTCTGGCTGTGTGTTCCTTGGGTGGAATGGAGCACCCATCTTCTCATTGTGCCGTGGGGTCTTTGGGGAGCTCTTGTGAAGAATTGTCGAGTAATTTACAAGACTGCACACCTGCATCTCCAGCTGACTCCCATTACATTTTCCTTGGCCTTGTTCCCACTCCCCTCTAATCAGAAAGACTCCTTAATAAGAGATCCACATTAAACTTTCTTTCTAGCAGCGACATTATTTGGAAACCAAAGCTGTCCTTCAGTTCTAAA